AGTTGTCAAATATTCGAGTCCGTTTCCCGTACTACTCACAAAGACAATATCATGTGTGCTGCAGGACATCAAAACTTCGATTCGGATATCTGAACTACGCCTTCCTTTTAAAAATCGTGTCGTTATATTTGCCATGGTTAGCAATGTTTCAGCGAAAGCCGGCGAAAGCACATCATTCTATCAACTCCAAAGTTAGTAGAGTACCACTCAGTTCTGCTTGGACTTTGATGGCGGGCATGGGTACTTCATACAACTCTTTCGAAGCGAAAGCGATGTGTTTATAAGCCTCGTCGTATTTCAAGATTTTCCATATCGTCGGACGATGTAAAAAAATTTGATTCAGTGTGTATGGCTGTCATAGATAACAAGTGCCACCCCCGCACTCCAGCCGGAAGTAGTACACGGTAATATTCATAACGGAGTCATGTAATCTATCAGCTGAAAAAAAGTCGTTGAACCTTGTCGAGATCGACTCTTCATTCCGTTTACAGTGGCTTATTGCGCTTGCGTTCTCTGAAGGCAAGACCACGTTCATTTAACAAAAGATGACAAACTTGGAACAGCCGTAGTTGAGAGATGCTGTCCAGCGAACTGTAGTTTGTCGTTGAGATCCGTCATGATCGACTAATCTTCAATCAATCACTCGTCACCTTGTCGCATGGCTGACTCACAGCTGCTCTGAGGAACATAATTTTCTAGAACCATGGGAAATGGTTCGTTGCATTATGAAAATAAACGGAGAATGTTCTTAAGGAAACCAGACAGTCACTTGAATATGAATAAGATCAAAACAACGGAAAGAGTCGCCGCATGAACGTGGGACATATGGTATTGGAGGAGTCATGCGTTTGAAGTACTTTGAAGAAGAAACAACTGTTCATGTGGCAGCATATTAGGAGTAGTTCACGAAGGTGGACTACCAAGCAACAACTCGCCAAAACCACTTAATACTAGAGAAGATTGCGGGAACATCTACTAGTGAAGGCGTGGCACGCCTTCAACGAGGACAAATCAAATGAGGGATATAACGAGTATCACCTTCTTCATTTTCATCTTCCATAACCGCTTCTCGTTTTAGGTTGCTGTTCGATGCGACGAGTATCAGATCTTGAAATATCTTCGAAAGGAGCGCGACGTGGCTCTGGTGAGCGAAATGATGCGAGATGCATCTGGCACTCTAGGTGATCAGGTACCAAGGAGCCACAAAATGCTTTGATAGCTCTCCTGAGGCAACTATGAGCAAGAGTTGGGGCGATACATCGTAAAACCTGCCGTTGAAGTATTCGTGTATTATTCAACAGAAAAGGACTTGCTAACGGGGTAAATATTTCTTGTCCCCACTGCATGCTATTAAAATCAACACTGTTTAGGCACAGACAATATTTTTGTGATTTTTTCAAAGTTGACAATTTTTAGCATCAGCTCTCAGGTCTACATGACACAGTGTCGAAAATTGAAAAAGAGGGAAAGTCAACGTCAATGACGATTTTAATGAGGTAGCTGATGATGACGATGACGACGACTGTGATGGTCGCAGCAATGACGGATATCAGCGTAAAAAGGAGAAGAGAAAGAACTTACGGGTGCATGTCTTTCCATCGCCGGTGTATCCACGTCTACACTGACAAATATATCCAGGGAAGTTTTCTATACATGTTCCGTGAATCTTGTCGCAGTCATGTTTGGCCGGATTTACGCACGACAACTCCGGTATGCAGCTGTATTCGCTGTAAGGGGCCTGAAAGAAAACAAAGCATATCCAATCGCTCTTTGCAGTCGTACATTCTTGTAGTCCTTCTTGCACACGCACGCGTACTGATCTTTACTCGGATCCAACACGCATTCCGTCGACTTCTTGTCGCAACGCTCGCAGATCGAGTCGTCTGCTAAACACAGCAACAGAAGGGCAGGGTTGTGTCCTTCGGACGTGGTTGTTGGCCATCGTTCAGCCCATTACTTACGTGCACACGTAAATCCGTCCCCAATGTAACCTGCCTGGCACTCGCAGGTGTAGCTTCCAGGTATGTTGACGCAGTTCGCGTGCGCGTCGCACGGAGGCTTCTGAAATGCTCGTTCCGTACATTCATTGATGTCCTCACAGTTCCTTTCGTCTCGTTTCCGGAAGCCCCCGGGAATGCATTCGCACACGTATGAGCCTGGGGTGTTTTCGCAGTTGGTGTTCATGCCACAGCTGTTGGGATTCAGGCATTCGTTGGTATCTGAAAGCACATTTCATCATCTTCACACAATATGAGCAAAGCTGTCAGCAGTGTGCTCCTCGAGGTCTTTGTTTAATGTCTTAGCAACTTCAGATACTAAACGCATAACATAGTTTAATCAGTAGCATTTATGAAGGATTTGCCTCATGACGATCGGCAGTCAGATCTTACCACTGTCTTTGCCTCCTGCATTTCGTTATTGCCAATCGATGAACAGAAGATTTGATTTTGGTCATCAAACTTTCCTACAGAATTTCATGGGTCAGGTGAGTTGGTCAGGTAGTCTTCTCGAATTTACGAAAGGCAAACCATACTATCATGTGTTGAACCTTATCCACATGTATTAATGAAATTGGTTCAAACAAATTTACTTATTGGTTAAAATTTTCAACGATCAACAAGTCAAAGCAACAAGATTATTCGTCATTGGGATTATGGTGGATTATAGCCAAAGCTGTTCAGTAAGTTGAGTGCCGCCGGTGATAAACCCGGCCAATCTATTCGCCTCTCATCTTCCTGAGAAAAATGAACAGCTGGCACGACGTGAGAAAAAAGGACGATGCTACACGTGACAGTGCTCACCTAGGTGTAGATATCGCCATAAAATAAGACACGTCTGGCTAGTGGCATCCAAACAACGATGAGCATCACACCTTGCTGGTATGAAACACTCATTGAAGAGACCCCTATTATAGTTTTTAGAAATCTCCCTTGCTTTTTCCATCCTTCTATCCATTCACCCATGCTTACTCCTTTAAGTTGCTTACAAATGGATTAATAACGTGAATAATTTTCGTTTGTGCTTGAACGTAGTTGTGTGATCATGCCCTTGAGCGGTTTGTATGAGAAGAACAACTCTGGTGTGTGACGTTGGTTCTGTTTGAAGCTTTACTATACTATTGCTATGAAGTTGCAATTTGTGCATCGTGCATGGAAGAGTTTGTCTCTGAACGCAGGTCTGCTTCCACCTGGTTCCTCCAGATTGCTTGCGACATATTTATCATGTCGAAATATTTCTCCTGCCTTGGTTCCCTGCTATCTTCTAGATATTACTTACTTTCGCCACATTTTTTGACGTAAGGCTATGGCATAGCAGCGTGCTGCTTCGATTTCATCAGCTCAACATACATCTTAATCAAGGAGGTAGCTGCAGCCATGTAGTAAACACATTATATAGTTTCCGGGCTGTTATGTCATGGCCAGTATCGTATGGAGAACGTTATAAATTAGAGACCTACCGGGATTCCATCCCGTACTTTCTATCTATCGGTTGGGATTAAGCAGATCCAGTTACCATCAGCGTTGTCTTCTTATTCGTTCAGTAAATGCAAACTGAGTTTGTGAAATCATGAGTATGCAGATTGACATTCCTGCTTGTTCCCTGAATCACGTCGCATTTGTGAGCCCAGCCTCTTCAAAGTTGACAAATGGTTTAGTGAGCAACGGTGAATGACTGTATTTGATTTCGATTTGTGAAATTATTGACGGGAGGATAAGCTTTTGTTTTTTAAGAGGGTACCATTGCGCACTAACATAAACTTTGCTAATTTGGGCTAGAACACAGGCATTTATTGTACCATCTCTATCTTTCTTTCGGTCTACATTTCCATGTTTTCTGCCAATACTTCTTCTAACTTAATTTTTTTGCCTGTACTTTCTGTATAGTTTTGTGCCTCATTAATTTTACGTGTTTAGCGTTTGGCATAACAGTAATCTAAGAAGAAGATATACCTATACAACGATCAGATATCGTTCCGGTCGACATCGGATTTCCATTCCATGCAGCATTACAGTAGCATCGATATCCTGGAAACAGATTCTGACATTGTGCGTTTTCGTCGCATTCGTTCCTTCCGCTTGCACATTCGTCAAAATCTGTAATCGCCCAAGTGAACATAAATTAACTTTGTTTGACTAAACCAAAAAACATTATTGATTGTGTATCACCTTGTGATAGGCATGCTTCTAAATTCAGTTAAAAAAACAGCTCTTCTCGTTTTGGCGCCACCGACGCAATAAGAAAACATCGGTCATAATCCTGCATGCTGATTGGCTAAAGGTGCACAAACAGGAAGAACTTGTACTGTCCTAGAATATGATTGGTCAGCTTCCGCAGGCACAGTTAGGAACATTCTTCTCCTGGAAGTTCATTGGTTTTTTGCAGCCCACCACTGTGCATGAATATTTTTGAAGGCTATTGCTGTGGGATATTGTTAGATTAGGGTATTAAGAATATGCTGTATGAAATTGTTAAACGTGAGGATTTACTATTGTCCATGTATTATTGAAATAAAACTTATATTATGTAGTTAGAGACGAATATCATACGGCATATACACTACCAAATCAGGCATTTTCTTACTTTGTTCTTTATTTAATCTTCACGATAGCGGTGCGAAATTTCAATGTGGGTAGATGTCAATTCGTGCATACACAGTTAGAGTAAAAGCGTCTAAACTTACCTTTGCATTCGTCGATCGCGCTTCCCACAAATCCAGGGAGGCATTTGCATTCGTAGCTGCCAACTGTGTTATGGCATTGTGAATTTAGGACGCACATGTGTTTTTTTTCCTTGCACTCATCGATGTCTGCAAAGCAAAGACATGCGATCTGGTTTAACGCAGAATTGACGCCATTCTTCATACCTATACACCTGTCTTTGATGGGATCAAGGATGTAACCAGTGGAGCAGACGCATTCTGGTTGATCATCCTGGTTCAGTATACACTTCCTCAATCGAAAGCTTGCGCAATAGGTAGAGATCAACGGATTTGGACAGGGTTTATCTGCAAAACAACGTACAGCTTCAAAAAATGCTTTATTACACATAAAGAAGAGCCTACCGTCATCTGTAATAACGAGCGATAGACATCAATCGAAAGAGTGTGTAAGTCCTGATTCAGCACTACAGCCGGCGTTTCTTGTATGGACTATTGGCGTGATGAGATTCGCAAAAATTTAATTTGATATTTTCCCACTTTTGAGCCACTCCCTTTCCAGATCGAGTTCATTTGAACATTTATGCATGCTGCTAGAAGTGAGACTCACACCGTGAGAAATGCGCCTACGTTCATCTATGATAAGGAGCGCAATTGAAAGTGGTTGCAGTAAAGTGGAGTAAATATCTTTCAAAAGAGTGTGTGATTTAAGACACAATTACAGAATTGGGAATTATTCGATGGACTGCTGGCGGAAAGAAACCCGAGAAGATTGGAACATGTTAACCTGATATCTTACTATTTAGGAGTCATTCCTTCTCAAGGTTATGATAATATGAACACGTAATCTCGCTGCCAGAAGATTACTACTGCACTTCGTGGAAAGCTAGAGAGTTATCATACACTCAACATGTGTTATTGTCGTGCTTTAGAATTCTGCTAGCTTCTGCTAGTGGAAGATGTCTGAATGTGTAAAATACCTTGGAATTAATGCCTGCAAATGCAAACAGAACAGCGGGCTCCAATAATGAACGGGTGAATTGATAAAGATCACAAGTTCATTGTTTTCCGTAGCAACCTCAAAGCATTAGCAATTGCAGAAAGTCCCCAATGCTGACTAAAATTCTCATTCTTTCTTGTTCAGTGAATAATTCATTGCTGATTGTGCGGTTATGGCCATCTGGGTAAATAACAGGGATAGAGAGAGCATGAATCTGAAGTGTCTAATTCTTAAGTAGTCAGGATTTTCAAAGGGTAGTAGCCAGCAAACAGGCGGGTGATTTGTCCAAAACTTTATTGTGCAGTACTTTGTATCTGCTGACATATCAGACTGCTACACACGATATGAAGAGCTTCCAAAGCTCTTGAACCACCTTGCCGTGGAAAGGCCAGTACAAACAGACTGAAACTTCGATAACAGGTTTTTGACACTGGGTATAAATAAACCGTGCTTTGCGTTGTTTTTAGTATCAACACTAAATATTCAGCTTCTGTATCAATGCATAATCAGCGAATGTCTCAGAAAATAGTAATAATAAACTATAGCATTCATTGCGGCTAATAAAATCATAGTGTTACACTACGAAATACTGTACCTACTGATATGAGCTACCTGAGTTCCTTTGCAGCTACATTAAATCCGTTGATTTTATTG